CCAGGAAACACAACAAGCTGCTCACTTTTCACTTATGGTAGTTTTAAATTAATTCAAATGAAGCTTGCCTCTTGAGCCTGTTGTATATGACGGTGAAGCAACTGATGATGATAAATTACAGTGGCTTCACATGAGAATACAACTACACTCTCGGTTGCAGTCTTCTGTGAAATATGTAAGTATGTGAAACATGTATCCATAACCTGGACCACAGTTAAAGAAATGATCACAGCCAACTCAACCATAGAGGATTGCAAAAAAAAAATGTATTAAGAAAGCAGTTGTTAAAATTGTTATATTTTTCAAATTAGAGATTATGGAAATGAACATCCATTTCAGCATACAACTGTATCTGTGGAATGAGAACAGAATTCATCTGAAGAATGAATTTTAAGGTGGAGCAGGGTAATTCATTTATCTTCAGCACAGTAGATTAAGCTTGAATTATTTCTGTTCAGGATCTGGGTTTCCATCCCAATCTGCTTCTATAGAGCAACTTTTACCACAAAGTGTCCCCCATTCTCATTCTGAGCATTTTCTGAGCTGCATTAGCTAGGTGACCTAGTTATTACTGATTCATTTTATTGAAATCAACAATAATAATGAATTCATTCTGCTTCTCATATTGCCTCAAATCATTTTCACAGCATTTAGGAAGAAGCATTATTATTCCTTATAAAGCTTCTCTTCTTTGTAACAAATCTTTTTCTATTTTATCCGTCTGAGGCAAAAGAGACTATTATTACTGCAAATTTTATTCTACCCTGTCCCCACACTAGAGTATTTCAGGCACTTAAAAGGCAGGTATCACAAGGCTCAGCATTTCACTGATTTCTGTGAAAATTGGCAAGTTTGACATCCTTCTCAAAAGCCTTTTTTTCGCAATTTCATCCCATTGTGCTATATAACCAAACAATTCTTTTCCCCCAATACACACTTTGTTTTTCTGGATCTGACCACCACTTCAGAATGAAGAACTGCTGGCACAAGGTGAAATAGATCAGGGGCTTTTAAATGCTCCAAGTCTCTAGAAATGGGATCAGATTAATTAATTAATTCAATTTATATGGCTGCCCATCTCAACAAAGAGACTCTGGGCAACTAACAGCAGTTAAAACCAACAAAGAACATAAAAGAAACAGGCAATTGGCAGATAAAATAAAAACAGCAGACAACCACGAACGCAACTGGCTTCCAGGCTCTGTTACTCTGACCCCCATGCCTGGGATCACAGCCATGTCTTCAGGATCTTTTGAACGGTCAACAGGATTTAAATTTATGTTTTTCTGAAGACCTTTTCAAAATTATAATAATTCAGGGCACCTTCACCCCCTCACCCATCAAAAATACCAAACATCATATCCATACTAAACATATACCTGAAGTGCTCTAGTAGAGATTCTTTGTGAATATCGGCTTCTGATCTTGGAGTTTCAAATAAGGCTAGTGAAAAGTTATAATTTCACAGTGATGAAGGAGATACCAATTCATTCTATTACCAGTTCCCCTCTCAAAATGAAAATGTTTTCCATTACATGGAACACAATAGCCTTTTCTTCTTAATAGGTATGAAACAGCACTAAGCAAACAAAACTGAATGAGAAATTACCACTACAGAAACAGGTTTAGCACCAAAATATCAACATTCAAATCACTTAAATCAATGTTAATTTGCGAAGTATGGCTGCAAAATTTATTTGCTGAATCTTTAAACACTGACATTTGGACTATAAGCAGCACAATGTTTTGTCTGACTACTTTTTATTTCAGAATAAAAGTCCCGTCTGGTTTGAAGAATATCCTCTGGAGAATCTGACATGAAATGAAATCAAATGTTGGGCCTGCTGCTACAACAAGTGACATGCCCAGAGTAGATTTGTACGAGAAAAAGAGTTAGGAAGGAACTAGAGAAGTAGCTGCAGTCTTTCTTGGTCTGATGGTGCCAGGAGATTGTGAGTTCTAGTCCTATCTTAGGTATGAAAGCCTGCTGGATGACTTTGGTCCAATCCAGAGGTGGTATTCAGCTGGTTCGGACCAGTTCCGGTGAACCGGTAATGGCGACCTGTGGGTGGGCTGCCCACCCACCCGGGCACAATCCTGTCCTATATCGTTGTGTTTTTGATGCTGTGGACAGCTCACACAAGCAAATTGCCATGTTGTTTGATGTCACATGCATGCCCGGACGGCACGCACAAGTGAATTGCCATGTTTTGTGATGCTGCATGGATACCACGTGCACAAGCGAAGTGAGCACATGTGTGCGCGCGCTCACATTTCCAGTGCTGGGCGAACCAGTTGCTACAGTATGTGAATGCCACCTCTGGTCCAATCTCAGCCCAACCCACCTCTCAGGGTTGTTGTTGTGGGGAAAATAGGAAGAGGAAGGAGTATTAGGTACGTCTCTTTTGCATAGTCTATAGATGTTGGTAATGTCAATGTATCTATTGATGGCTAATTTGTCAGAGTGCCAGGCTTCCAGAAATTCCCTGGCGTTTTTGGACTTGGCTTGGTCTAGGATAGTCACATTTTCCCAATTGAAACTATAGGTTAAATCTGCCTAAATGGTGTGATTTTTTTTAAAAAAAAATCCTCATGTCTTCTGTTGCCATTATTTTATTTGCTAATTCATTCAGTAGATTGATATCCAGTCGGCATAATCTACACTTCCTTCTGCAGATTGATTTCCCTAGCACAAGCCCAGGGAGAAATAATAACTGGCCAAAAGTCACTCAATGAATTTCCAGGGCAGAGCAAGTATCTGAACTTGTCTTTCTTACTTTCCTTCTTACTGTTTTAGTTCAGTACAGCCATTACTTATGGATGTACTTGTCTACATCCACATTAACCTCATCTACATAACCCTTTTCTGCAGGATTTCACAAGTACTTTTCAGAACCATGGCAGCAGCTGCTGTGCCATAAGAACTAGACCGAGTGGAGAAGATGCCATGAATTTTTATATTTATGCAAAAGTCCTCAGAAAAGCACATGCCTATTCTTTATCCCTTGTCTTTTCTTATTTCATCTTATATGCAACCGCATTGATTTTAGCACAGTTGTTATGTAACTCTGATTTTCCAAAACATTCTTGAAGGTAAATTTTCTGGTCAAGACGTATTGACTTAAGATTCATATTGATTTTTGATTGACTGATAGAATTTTCTTTTAAGCCAATGTAACATGTGCTTATTTTAATTTCTCGGGAAGCCGTTTGCTCTCACAGCAAGCATCATTATTTCTGAATATTCATCCCTCTGGCGAGAAATTTTCATGTGCCACTAATTAATCGGAATGATTTGAATTGTTACAGAAAATCTGTTCAATAGATGCTTATTCCATGCTCATACACATACATTTGTACAGGAGACAAAACACCGCAGTGAAATGTGTTATGAATTCTGATTTCAATCTAGCTGTGATTTAGGTGTAGTGATAGAACATGTTAGTCTTTAAGGATGATGAAATGCTTTCTTGTATGGTGGATGGTTAAATTAAATTAACTTTCAAAGGGGCGGGGGCTGGCAGTTATGTCTCAACTGTTTATGCTCCAAAGATGTGGTCAAGTCTGGGTCAGTTTGAACTCTAAATAAAGAGAGGCTTTTTCACAAATTGCAGCAAGATAATGTAGTTCACCTTTGAACCAAACTGTCTTTCTGAGTGCCAAGAGATGAAACTTAATAACAGAGTCTTGGCAAGCTGCAGTTATCAGTCTAACTCACAGGGAAGAGAGGAAATAGATGCTTACTCCAGAGTCAGTTTTAATGGGCAGTCAAAGGATATGTTGCAAACTGGTCTGTTTGCAGGAACTCAGGACAAATGACTGGAGTGTTTTTCCCTGCGATAGATGGTTTGTTCTTTATCAGAGTAAAAATAAGTGGCAAAAGAATTGGTAGAGGGAAGTTCTTCTAGTTAGCCCTTTTCATTACAACAGGATCAACACATGAAACATTGACTGTGGGTTGTTCTAGGAAACATGAAACAGTCTAGGAAAATGAAATAAAATGCATCCATTTCTAATCTTGCTTTAGATATGAATTCATTAAGTAGCCTCAGGAAAGCCAGATTTGCAGAGTAAGGATATATAAACACTGTTCTAATAAAATCCATATAAATTAGCTGAAAATATAAGTAATATTTTTTTCTAGCACTGAGAGTGCTTTGAGCAAGATGCCTATAGGAGGAAATTGCACATCTGAGTATGCAACCCCTCAGTTTCTCTTCTCATTTCCTTCTCTCCTCTTTAACAGAGTAACAAAGTTGGAAGGGACCTTGTAGGTCATCTAGTCCAACCCCCTGCTCAAGCAGGAGATCCTACACCATTTCTGACAGATGGCTGTCCAGTCTCTTCTTGAAAGCTTCCAGTGATGAAGCTCCCACAACTTCTGAAGGCAACTTCTGTTCCATTGGTTGATTGTTCTTACTGTCAGAAATTTCTCCTTATTTCTAGGTTGAATCTCTCCTTGAGCAGTTTCCATCCATTGTTCCTTCTGCTCTTCTGGTGCTTTGGAAAATAGGTTGACCCCCTCTCCTCTCTGTGACAGCCCCTCAAATAGTGGAACACTGCTATCATGTCTCCCCTGGTCCTTGTCTTCACTAGAATAGCTATGCCAAGTTCCTGTAACTATTCTTCATAAGTTTTAGCCTCCAGTCCCCTCCTGTCCTTCTCCCTCCCCATTCACACTTTCCTTCCTTCCTTCCTTCCTTCCTTCCTTCCTTCCTTCCTTCCTTCCTTTTTTGACTGTTGAATGTGAATGCGCTGTAGAAAGAAGCACCCATGGGGAAAGAAGGAAGGGTCAAAATATCAGAATGGCAGCCATGACTATGCAATTGAAGCCCTCCCTTTTCTTACAGGAATTAGACATACAATGGATGTAAAAAGAGGGAAGGCAAGCTGCTGTTATCAGTCTAACTCACTTGGTCATGGAAACAATCTTAATATTTTGGCCCCCATTAGGGATCTCCCTATGTCAAGGTAGACCAGATTAGAAACCAATGTCATGTGTGCCAATACTACTTTTATTGTAAAATTATAGTATCAGAATCTTGCAAGCATGAAATCACCTCAGCATGTCCTCCCTTTAACTTCATGAGATCTAGGGAGAGGGTTGTCTGAGATATTTTCTCAAGTTACAGTTCTGCTCCAGAGTTGCATCCTGCATCCTGCAACAGAGTTGTTTTCCTCCTCTACCCTGCTATTCTGGGAATGGAGAATTTATATTTCTGTAATTCTGTATTACCCTGTTATATGTTGTTGCATGTTATGCCAATGTATTTTTGAAAAGCCTCTTCTTATTTTCTTTTGTTTTACTCCTGGCCATCTTGAGTTGTAGAAAGGACAAGTTTAGCTCCATGTTTTTCTTCCTTCTTGTCCCTCTACCTTTGAATTTCCTTTTTTTACTTTTCTGCTGTTCATCATAGGACATAATTCATTTAAGATGTATATTTACTTGATCGTAAGCACACATCGTTTGAATTCTTCCTATTTACACTTCTCAAAGCTGGTTAAACTCCTATGACTTAAGGAGTCCTGTGGACCTATTATATCTAGCATTGTTTTTGATTGATGCTGATGGATTAATCTCTTGTCCCTTGCAGCCCATCAGAATGTTCCCTCTTCCAACGTTTCTTTGATTTCTTCTCTTTTGCTTCTTTTGTCCTGTTGATATATTTATTTATTAAACAAATATAAACAGTATAAACAAATATATAGTGCCACCCAATTCACACACATTGACTCTAGGCAGCATACAACATTAAAAACCCATTGTTAAAAATCACTCCCTCACACACCCTATGGCAGTGATGGTGAACCTTTTTGGCACCGAGTGTCCAAACCAGAACATGTGCGTGCCGGAGTGCTGGAAACCCGAAGACCAGGTGGCCGGTGCACATGCTGGCTTCGGATTTCTAGTGCTCCGGTGCATCTGAAGACCAGAGGGCCGGCGCACAGAGCAGCTGGTGACAAACAGGTGGTGATAGCACGCATGCCGACAGAAAGGGCTCTGCGTGCCACCTTTGGCACGCATGCCATAGGTTCGCCATCACAGCCTTATGGCATTGACAACAGAGTCAAAGAAGCCACTTGATCAGCTCCAAATAGATTTCCAAGCCTGTCGACAAAGCCATGTTTTCAAGGCCTTGCAGGAAAGCTTGATAGTTGGGAGCTGCCATATATCCCTGCCTTCCTGCTCTGGTGGTTTGGGTACATATAATTGGGGAGAGGCAATCTTATCTTAAACTTACCTATGTACAAGAAATCTATTTGAATTTTGTATCAAAATGATATAAAGGAAGAAGAGTATAACAAAGAAATAGAGAGAGAGAGATGTACCTGAGTCACACTTTTTCGAATAACAGAATTTAGAATAAAGTGCAATGCCTTTTACCCTGTCTGCCTGTGCTGTTAATTTTTTGGGAGTAAGAGGGACAAGGCAATCCATAGTAGATTCCACTTACATTTGCTATTGGTTTGAGCGTGTGCGTGCGTACACACATGTGCTCGCTCACAGTGCTTCTGTACATGCGCAGAACCTTCTGCACATGTGTAGAGCGTCCATGATGATGTCCGGGCGGGTGGGCGGAGCCTACTGCCACCACCACTACCAGTTCTCTGGAACCGGGGCGAACCGGTAGAAACCCACCACTGAAGACAATGCTGATTTTTCAAAGAGAAGTATAGCGAGACTGACTATTGAGTCTTTGACCTGTACATGGTGGCTCAGCTCAAGACCACTACAGTATGCCATGTGGAAATGAAAGCAGTGATTTCTATATGGTTTCCTAATGTGAGTTACCTGTAGAAGGGAATGCTTCCATTCATTCAATTCAGTTCAATTCAATCTGTAGAAGAGACTGCAAATGCTTCAATTGATAATGCTGCCAGTCAGTTAGTAGCTAAATCATTGTGACATCATGCCAAAGAAACAAAAGTTCAGAAACAATAGTTAATTTTATATGGCATAGAAGAGTAATGCCTGCTGTAAAGGACAATATTACCAGCTTAGATAAATCGTAGGCTTCCTGTAGAGATAATATATTGGACAACTCTAGCCTAGCCAGCCCTGACTGGATTTCTTTATATAGAATTACTTTTATTAACCAAGGATTATATAAATCTGAGAGTCATCATGATATGAATGTATTCTGAACATTTAACACATCAAAAATGCAAAATAAAGGCATAAAATATCAGATCACTTTAACAACCCCACCCTACCTCATGAGTGTTTTTATAAAATAAACACATATTCAAAGAAAATGTAAAATTACCTAGTAATTGCAAATATGGAGGAGGAGGAGGAGGAGGAGGAGGAGGAGGAGGAGGAGAAGAAGAAGAAGAAGAAGAAGAAGAAGAAGAAGAAGAAGAAGAAGAAGAAGAAGAAGAAGTGCTTTAGCTTCCCCTTTAGAGATCACCTTAAAAAAAAACAGTATACGCAGCTGAGTGCCAATAATCCCATGAAGTGCTTTCAAGAAATATGTGTGGATTAAATGCTATGAAATTCTTACACTGCAAGTGGTGTGGACTTTACAATTTTTCTAACCAAGATGTACATGAATACTTAAAATGCAATTCTAAGCACACTGTCTGAATAATAAATCTCATTGATTAAACTGGGATTTATTCTTGTAAATTAGTTATTAGAGTGCAGTCTAAGTAATACACTCTCCAATATTAATATTTAAATTAAAATAATACTCTTGTAACTTTAGCAAAGCCTCTTACATTATACATTAATATTATTGTAATATTCCAAATTTGCATCTATTAAGATTCTGTTCATTTTTAACCATAAAATACAATGAAAAAAAATCAAAATTTTAATAAAATTAACAGCTCAGTGAGAAAATATATATGATTGGATTTCATATATCATGTGAAGCTATGTATTGTTTAATTGTGGCTCATTGCATAAATACAGTTGACTTGTTCACATATCACACAAAGTTCTAACCCAAGATTTTCAAAATACAATGGCCAACTTCAGGCAGCATTCTAAAGTACAAAAAAATCTGGTTTAATGCAATGTGTAAAAAAAATGCTTATTTTTATTTAACATTAAACAAAATATTTATCATAATTTTCTCTTTCGCAGTCTCAAAATAGCTATTGATCACCATTTAAATGAAAGGATATTTATTACCCTCATATATCAAAGTGTCTGGTTTCTATTGCCTAGTATTACACTGTATTTGTAATTGGAGACATTAAAAATGTTGGAAAGATTTAAAATTGGAAAATGTTAAAAATATGTTAGGCACATTTGCAAAATATGAAAATTCAGTTTATATGGACATAGGCTCCACTGAGGGCCGTTGGACTGGTTTTGACTACTTATCAAGTAGTATCAATTTATCAAGGAGAGAACCATCTAGAATTAAGTAGAAATTTCCTGACAGTGAGAACAATTAATTAGTGGAGTGGCTTGCCTCCAAAAGTTGTGAATGCTCCAGCTCTGGAGATTTTAATAGTCATTTATCTGAAATGGTATAGGGTCTCCTGCTTGAGCAGGGGGTTGGAGTAGAAGACCTCCAAGGTCCCTTCCAACTCTATTATTCTATTATATTACTTCTGTCATACGAGAGGTATTCTGGTATATAAAGCGTTGGGATAGCAGTGAGGAGATACGGATTCTAGCCCATCATCAGCCATGGAATCTCACAGTGATTTTTGACCAATCTCTCTCAACTCAACTTACCTCACAAGGTGTTTGTTATATGGGGGGTGGGGGATGGGAGGCAGTGCTATGTAAATCACCTTGATCTCCCTAATGAAAAATGTGATATAAGCCTAACAATATATAGGTTGTATGCTATGTTCCTTCCACAAAGCTTCCACTTTCTTTGCCCAGCAGCATTTCCACACCACTGCATACCTCTTCTCAACTGACCTCATTTCCCAACTTCCTGGAGCTGGCCAGTGTGGCAGTGTCCATCTTGAATGCTCTACCCTTTCCCTCAGTGGTGAAATCTAAAATTTGTTACTACCGGTTCTGTGGGCGTGGCTTGTGGGGGGGGGTAATGTGACTGGGTGGGCGTGGCCATTTTTTTTTTACTTTTAAAACCATTTTTTCTACAACCTCTTCGGTGAAGAGGTTGTAAAAAAATGATTTCAAAAGGTTTTGATGATCTCAGCTGAGTTGCCTGATCGTCAGAGAGTTTTTTAAAAATCCTCTGCCGATCAAGCAACTCAGCTGGGTTCGTCAGAGCCATTTAAAAGAAAAAAAAAAGCCTCTGATGATCGCGCGGCTCAGCTGGGCATGGGGAGGTAGGGATTTTTGCTACCGGTTCTCCAAACCACCCGCCTCCATCGCTACCGGATCAGGCAATCCGGTCCGAACCGGGAGCATTTCACCCCCGCTTTCCCTGTTTTTCAACTGTGTCAAGTGTTTCAAACTAGGAGAAAAGCTCAACAAAAAGCCTCTAATGAGCTATTGTGAAGGGATGCAGTGGGATTGTTAGGGTAGTAGTCCTCTACTTATGATCACAATTGAGCCCAAAATTTCTGTTGCTAAGTGAGACATTTGTTAAGAGAATTTTGCCCCATTTTACAACCTTTCTTGCTACAGCTGTTAAGTGAATCACTGCAGTTGTCAAGTTAGTAACACGGTTGTTAAATGAATCTGGCTTCCCCATTGACTTTGCTTGTCAGAAGGTCACAGAAGGTGATCACATGACCCCAGGACACTGCAACTGTCATAAAAATGAGTCAGTTGCCAACTGTCTGAATTTTGGTCACATGATCAAGGGGATGCTGCAATGGTCATAAGTATAAAAAACGGTCATAAGTCACCTTTTTCAGTGCCATTGTAATTTCAAAAAGCCAATCAATGAACTGTTACAAGTCAAGGACTACCTTTATATATGTGTTTGCTATTGGCTTTTCCTTGGGAGCAGCAGCTGAGCTGAGTTGAACAGCACCCACTTCAAATATTCAGAGCATTTGTGTAATGAAGAGCTCTGAAATAGTAGCATATTTATTTTAGAAGATTTTATACCACCTCTCAATTAGAAAAACCTACAGAAGAATGGAAATGCCTTAATTAAGAGTAACAGAATGAAATACCAACAGGGAAAACAGAATCAAAAATAGGCATTATTTAAAATATAAGATAGAACAATCATCATTGGAAAATGAAGTGATCCTTTCACTCATCTTTGAGTTGCCAAGCAAAATATTTCTGCTTTCCCAAGCTTTCTAGAAACAGGTTTACTTTGAACCCGTTGTTTCTGTTTGAATATTTTGTCGTTTCTATGCCTTATTTTATTATCTTCTACTTGAAATATATTCGCATCTTCATATTTGATTAGCTGCTGTGGGAACATGAATTTTTTTCTGGAAGTTTTGGACAGGAGTTATCTAAGTAAATAAATCAAATGTTAAAATATGAGTGCCAGGTGCAAATTATTTAAATTCAAAGAGAAAAACCATTCATATTGGGGGGTTTTATTGTTCTCCTGTGGTTTGGCACTTGTATAGAGGTCCCAGATGTAGTATACGTCTCTTTTATAAAGCTGAGTTCTCCCTGGACACCTTGAGTAATTCCACATGACCAAGTGTTTTGTTGCTCACATCTTTTAATTTCCCTATTACAATGCAGAATGAAATACTGTATATATATCTCTATATATCCTACGTTTGTAAAGTTATCAGGACCCTATGGGACCCTATGGGAGCAGGCAATCTATGGGGTAGATTGCCAAGGGCCAATGAATCACTGAACACATCAATCCAGAATTCTCACTCAAGGCACAAATGACCAGACTCAAATGATCATACTTTGGATATTTTATGAAAGGTCCTAATTCTCTGTGTGATGGTTAAGACACAATGGTGTCTTGATGGCACATCATCCATCCATCATCCATCATCCATCCATCCATCCATCCATCCATCCAATCAAGACATCCAACAACTGCCAGGAGCCAGGGGGCAGAATGAAGCAGATAATCTCCTCATTCCCATATGGAAGTGACCAGTGGTGGGGTTCAACATTTTTTACTACTGGTTCTGTGGGAGTGGCTTGGTGGATGTTGCGTGGCTTGCTGGGCGTAGCTTGTTGGGCATGGCTTGCTGGGCATGGCAGGGGAAGGATACTGTAAAATCTCCATTCCTATCCCACTCCAGGGGAAGGTTACTGCAAAATCCCCATTTCCTCCCTATCAGTTGGAACTCGGGAGGCAGAGAATAGATGGGGGTGAAGCCAGTCAGAGGTGGTATTTACGGGTTCTCTGAACTACTCAAAATTTCTGCTACCGGTTCTCCAGAACTGATCAGAACCTGCTGAATACCACCTCTGGAAGTGACCATCAATGGGAATGATGCTGTTTAAAGAACTTCAATAAAAGCTGGTAAACGGAGGTTCAGCAGATCATAGCTGAATGTTAGGTAGGTCTTCCCTTTATACCCATTGAAGATTGGCAATTGGATAATGAAATGGGGATGTGGTATGAGTGATATGTACAGTACCACGTTTTGACAATATTTCTCTTGGGAGAATGAAATTTGAACCTATAACTGATTGTTCTTAAAGAATAGAAACATTGGTTTTTTGACTGGGAAAATACAATACGGAAAATATAAGGTCTGGATTTAGAAAAATAACATAAATTATTGTAAAAGTTAATACCTCCAAAAGCAGGAAATATGACAGGTTTTTAAAGGGATTTCTCAGTGATAAACTGGGGGGGGGAATCACATTAATTTTAGTTTTTCATTACTGAACTACAACTTCTTTAGAAAATAAAACTGTTCTTATCATCTATTTATCTGTTAGCATTTTTTTAAAAAAAACTGGGTGGTTTTTTTTTTTTTGTAATATATATAATAATTTAAGTTTAAGCCATGTGTTTACCATAATTCAGTTTATTCCTGTATTTCTCATGAGAAAAATGATGTCTTAGGGAAAAAAAACATTGTACACCCAATACAAAATGTTCACAAAATACTTCAAAATATTCTACATAAAGCTTACTTTTGATTTTCACAACCACCACCACTTTTTAATATATAAGGCCAATAAACTCACAGAAAAGCAATTTGGTGTATTGGTTAAAAGCATCAAGCTAGAAAATGGTAGATTGTGAGATCTAGTCCCACTTTAGGCACAAAGTCAGCTGGGTGACCTTGAACCAGTCACTCTCAATCTAGCAAGCTAGAATTGATGACCAGCTGCATGCCACCGGCATAACAGCAAATGCTGTTATTTGATTACATTTCAGCGAATGTAATGGATAATAACAGAGATTTCCCAACCATACCCCATGATTAAAACCGAACACGAAATGACAAAAGTATAATATTTTAATTGTTCCTGATGACTTCTTCCAAATCCTCAATACATCAATACTATATACAAAAGAAGGAAAAACTAGATATATTTTGTGATCAAAATAAGTAAAGTGTGACAAAAAGAAAGAAAACTAACAGAAAAACAATTGTAAAGATCCATGTAATAATTATAGGTAGTTTTGCACATTGTGCTGTATAACGGCATTGCTTTATGATGGAAGTTCTGGTCCCAATTACCATCGTTAACCAATGACTCACACCACACACAAACACACTCATATAATGCCTTCAAATCATACTCACTCCGGGAAACCATTGGCAGCTAAAAAAGCCAATGCAATCCTAAATTGTATTAATAGAGAGATACAATCAAGATCAAGTGAGGTACTAATATCACTCTATAAAGCCTTAGTAAGACCACACCTAGAATCCTGCATCCAGTTTTGGTCGCCACACTATAAAAAAGATGTTGAGACTCTAGAAAGAGTGCAGAGAAGAGCAACCAAGATGATTAGGGGACTGGAGGTTAAAACATACAATGAGCGGTTGCAGGAACTGGGCATGGCTACTCTAGTGAAGAAAAGGATCAGGGGAGACATGATAGCAGTGTTCCAATATTTGAGGGGCTGCCATAGAGAGGAGGGAGCCTGTTCTGCCTCAGCTATGGACCCCAAAGAACGCAGCACACAAAAAGTCCGTACAAACTTAGTTTACTAATTAAGGACTACTAATGAGCTTTCTTAGTAGTTGTTCGAACACAAGTACAGTTTAAATCAGTCTTTTCTGAACAAGGGCTGTTAATTTAACTTCATTAACAGCCGACAAGAATCCAAAGAATAATAACTCAATTCTGAGGCACAGTATTTCAGATAACCGTAATCTTATTGTGGGTTGGCAGAATGCCCAGAAGCAATTTGCAGGAAAATTGACAAGAGACAAACAAGAGCCGAATCAAACGTTTCTGGAATCAAGACGCGAAGGAATATGAATGAAATTGTTTCTTGCAAATTGCATCAATTGTCGTCCTTCCTTAAATAGGCTAGGGGAGTGGCCAATTAGCCTCAAGCCTTACTCTCGAGGAGACCTCCTCCTGAGGAGCCACTCCTTTTAACAGCTCTGCATGCTCGTGCATCAAGAAGAGGCTCCTCCTCTTCTTCCTCTTCACTTATGGGAGCTTCTGGAGGTTCTGAAGGCCGTGGCTGAATCCCCGCCTCTGACACCACATCTTCTCCAGCCTCCTCATTGTCTGACCTGAGCGCCAGCTGCACAGACTGCTGGCGCAGCACTACACCAGCCTCCTCGCTGTCGGAATCAGCTACTAACTGCACAGGTCGCTGATGGGCCACAACAGAGCCAAGCTATTTTCCAAAGCACCTGAAGGCCAGACAAGGAATAATGGATGGAAACTGAACAAGGAGAGATTCAACCTGGAAATAAGGAGAAATTTTCTGACAGTGAGAGCAATCAACCAATGGAACAGAGGTTGCCTTCAGAAGTTGTGGGAGCTTCATCACTGGAAGCTTTCAAGAAGAGACTGGATTGCCATCTGTCAGAAATGGTGTAGGGTCTCCTGGATGAGCAGGGGGTTGGACTAGATGACCTACAAGGTCCCTCCAACTCTGTTAATCTGTTAAATCT